TTTTTTTTTTTTTTTTTTTGAAGTCTGGAATTTTATGTGTCTCTCCATTTTTTGGTGGATCATGGATGTTACTGTTTTGTGCTGAAGATGAATCACTAATTGAATATTGAAGTGGCTATTAAGATTTTGAATGTTGGGATATTTGTAGTACATGAAATTTGAAGTTCTTCAGTTTTATACTGCATGCGAGTTGTTTCTTTAATGCAAAGCCGAATCATTGGGTTTAATATGGAATTGGGCTTACTTTCTTTGTTGAATTTTAAAAGGTTTGCATGCGTATGTGCATCTTATATGTACAGTTATAGTTACATATTACATACTAGTGTGGAACTTGTTATTTACACCGACTGATGAGTGATGGTGCTTATGTTACTTAGGGTCTGAATGTCCACGTGTAGATTGATTGATTGATTTATGTAGGACTAGTAATGTTAATTGTTGCCTTTTCTGAAACTGAGACTTAAGCAGCTAATTTGGAGCATGTATGCCAAGTTTATGGAAATTCTTTTCCATTGACATGTGATTCGGGTGAACTTTCAGTTTCTGTGTCATCATTGTTCAATAGTTGACTTTTACCAATTTATTGGATCCATTGATTGAGTACATAAATCACCAGTAAGAAATTCCAGCTTTCAGGTCAAGCCCCAAAAGCACATCCCAGTGGATAAAACACTGAAAGGACTCTGCTATTCAGGAAGATTGGCAGAAGCCGTTGGGCTATTGTGCCATACAGGGTTAGAGGTAGACCCAGACACCTATGCTCTTCTATTGCAAGAATGTATATTTAGGAAAGAGTATAAGAAGGGGAAAATAATTCATGCACAAATGATCGTTGTGGGGTTTGTTCTCAATGAATATTTGAAGACCAAGTTGTTGATCTTGTATGCAAAATCAGGAAATTTAGGAACTGCCCACAGTTTGCTTGATAAGTTGCTTGAGAAAAGCTTGGTTTCATGGAATGCAATAATTGCAGGGTATGTGCAAAAGGGACTTGAAGATGTGGGATTGAGTCTTTATTACAAGATGAGACATGGTGGTTTGATCCCAGACCAATATACCTTTGCATCAGTGTTCAGGGCGTGTGCCTCTTTAGCAACACTGGAGCATGGGAAGCAAGCCCATGGTGTCATGATAAAGTGCCAAATTGGAGAAAATGTTGTAGTCAATAGTGCCCTCATGGATATGTACTTCAAATGTAGTGATTTATGTGATGGGCAAAGGGTATTTGATACATGTCAAAATAGGAATGCCATTACCTGGACTGCTTTGATATCCGGTTATGGTCAGCATGGAAAAGTTGTAGAGGTCTTAGATTTTTTTCATAGGATGAAGAGTGAAGGTTTCAGACCAAATTATGTTACTTTTATCTCAGTTCTTTCTGCTTGTAGTCATGGAGGTTTAGTTGATGAGGCTTGGGAATATTTTTCTTCAATGACAAGAGATTATGGAATTCACCCAAGAGCACAGCATTATGCAGCCTTGGTTGACCTTTTAGGACGTGCTGGGCAGTTAGAAGAGGCGTATGAGTTTGTTTCGAACTCACCTTGTAAGGAGCACTCAGTGATGTGGGGTGCTTTTCTTTGGGCTTGTAGAATTCATGGAGACAGAGACTTGTTAAAGCTTGCAGCAAAGAAATACTTCAAATTGGAACCAGAAAATGCTGGAAAGTATGTAGTCTTGTCTAATGCTTATGCCACTTTTGGGCTGTGGGACAATGTTGCTAAGCTTAGGTCTATGATGACAGATTCAGGGATGAGAAAGGAGCCTGCTTATAGCAAAGTAGAGGTTCAAAAAGAGGTCCACTTCTTTCTTAAGGGTGATACATATCACAAACAATCCAAGGAGATTTATGAGATGGTTAAATTGGTTGATTGCTCTCTAAAGGATTCAGGCTATGTTCCTCATTTAAGTGGAAGCTAATTTATGTAATGGAAAAGTGCTTATTTCCTAGGAATGTCTCTCTTTTGCCTGTCTTGTAAAGAACTCGATACATAAGAGCTTCATGCTTGAGATGTCTACTTTGGTCTTGTCTGAAAAACGAATTAAACATGCAGTGATATACTCACAGAAAGTTACCTAATCAGTGTCATAAGTGTGATAGAAATTGCAGTCTTTAGGAAGTTGAAAAGCGTGTAAGAGAGAAAATTGTTTATATTCAGTTCATGAGCCCTATGCATGCCAGTAATACATGAAGCTTGCGAGTGTTTTTTCCTTTAGGTTCTTAGTGAGAAGAAGAAAACTGCACAAATGTAGATGATACTTCATAGAATGTATCAGCCAAGTTCTTAGTAAATACTTTTCCAAAGCTTCAGCTTGATGACTAGAAGTTGAGAGTTCATGTTTATATACAGTGGTAATACCCGTAGTACTGGACATTAATAACTATCTCTAGGATTGATCTTTGCAATCTTGGAGGACTTTCATGATTGTTGGTATGCAGTGCACATCCAAGAGGAGAGTCCATGGGCCAAGTTTTTTCATGGTCAACTTCCCCATAAGTCATTAATCACAAGATGTAAGCAAAAGAGGTAAAGATATTCACCCTTTCTAAGTTTTTAGTGCTACCTCTGAATGATGCTTAAATAATGTACATTGATCCTTGTATCCATGTACTTCCAAGTTACTGTTAATATTTTTTTCGAGATGTAAAGGTTTCTGGTTTGTTTGTAAGCAGAGGGCTAATCTTTTTGAGCTCTTGTTTGAAAATTATTACATATCTTACTGGATTCATGCTTATCATTTCATTAATTCCTTTGTATAACTCTTTGGCAGAAATGTTGCTATAATTAAATCAAGCAAGGATACAAGATATGGATTGGATTCAATTGTGACGCATGATGGGGTCAAGATGCCCTGTTGGGCGTTAACACATCTATCAGCATTCAAACAAAAGTTGAGCCCTGATGCATATGATCAGGTATTGTAGTGCCGGTATTTGATTAGATAGCAATTCTTATTTGAAATTATTATAGTTTCACTGTTATCCAGGTGACAAATTGCATATTTTTTCCATGTACAATTTATGTTACTCATAATTACTTTGCGGTGACAGCTAGATGTAATTGGTATAGATGAAGCCCAATTCTTTGACGACCTGTATGATTTCTGTTCTGAAGCCGCTGATCATGATGGTAAAAAAGTAATAGTCGCTGGACTAGATGGTGACTATTTAAGGTATTATTTCAATTCTCCACGAGTTGAGGTTCTCAAGCTCATTCTTTGACTTTGCAATGAGCAGTTCTTGCCTGTTCCTCGGAAATATCTTTTGATTTGATGGTCAATTCAAAAATTGATTGCAGGAGGAGCTTTGGATCTGTGCTAGATATAATTCCTCTTGCTGATTCTGTAACCAAGTTAACATCTCGATGTGAACTTTGTGGGAAACGGGCTTTCTTTACATTAAGAAAGACGGAGGAGATGCAGACTGAGCTGATTGGCGGGGCTGAAGTCTACATGCCTGTCTGCCGGCAGCACTATGTTGATGGACAAGTAGCCATAGAAGCTGCGAGAGTTGTCCTGGAATCTCAAGTTCAGTGCGGTTCATATGTGTAGTAACTTTTGCCAGTTAGTAGGATATATCTGTATTCAGCAACCACCTTACATGTCTTATTGAAAAGTTTACACTTTGCTGGATGACCCTTTAGACAACATGTTGATAGGGAATGTTATACGGTCTCGATCAAGAATGTATATATTCTTTTCACCAACCAAAGAATGTGCACACAAAAAAAAAAAAAAATCTTCAGTGTTTAGTAAACAACCACCAATTTTAGATGATGAAAGTTGCAAACCAATTTTGTAAAAGCTCTTCCATTGGTTATTCAAATGGGAAGATCCAAGTAAAACGAAGGTCTTTATCTATTGAACAAAGCGCTACTACATTCAAATTATGTGTAACGGCATGGATCATTAAATATCATATTATGTATTACAACATCATGTTATATCTACAACTTTAATATTTTAATTGCTATATAAAATTACTTCAATGTCATTAGAACATTTTATTGTCACTTATTGAGTTATTTTGAAATATTTTCTATGAATTCAATTTTGGTTTCGGTTTAACAAATTTTGTCTTCAATGGGTGTATTGTTTTTGTCAATTAATAACATTTTTATAATATTATAAATATTATGTTGCAAAATGGGCAGAAAGGTTTATGAGATTTTATTGGTTAATGTGGTGAGCAAAAATACTCCCATAGAAATAAAAATCCTGTAATTGTAATCTATTAAAATCATAAGTAAAATCATAAGTGAATAAAATCATAAGTAAAATCATGTAATTGCAATCTATTAAAATCATAAGCAAAATCATATAATTTCAAATCCGGTTGAAATCCAATACATTAAAATCATGTAATTACAATCTGTTAAAATCTTAATTGAATACACCCCCCTAAATATGTTTAACAAGTATAGCCGCTCGGCTATACTTCTAGATATATTCGAATATTTAAATAGTATAGAATAATAATAGAGAACCAGAAAGTTTCGACTCTCAGCAGTAAAGTTTGGCCCAAATGTGCTGAACATGCATATGTGGCCGAAAGTAGTTCAAGCCTAGAGCTAAGCCAGCCCAAAATTGTCCAAAATACGTCGTTACAGCAGTTGAGTTGGTAACCGAGGCCCGAAGGGGAGCCTGGGAAACTAGAGCACATGTTCTCTCTCATGACTCGATGGCTTTCGAAGACCTTCCAGTTCCCTTCCTTGTGCTTGCACCGGTATGTATTACTCTCAAAGTTTGATCTTTCTTTTCTCATTTTTCTATTCAATCCCTTTGACGGTTTTATGGATTTTATCTTTCTTCTTCCTTAGTTCTTCAAGCTTCGGAAATTTTCAGCCGAAATGGTTATCAGGTTTCCCGAATCTCTGTAAAAGGGCTCATGGCCAGTTTGCTTATCAGGTTTTTCGAATCTCTGGTTTTCTTGTTTGTTTCTTAAAACTCTGAGCTACCCATTTAGAGTAATGTTTAGAAGACTACATATTTCAACCCCTCTGACAATAAGGTTACAATCTTTGTTAAAAACCCACTGTTTTGCAATTTTCTCAGCTGGGTATGTTACGGATACCAGTGATAGGGTCTTAAATACTAATGGGTCAGAGTCAGAGAATGAATGGGAGAAGATGCTTAAGCCGTTTGACCTCAATGAACTTAGGAAGTCACTCGTTCAAATCACTCCAATTCAGCTCTGTAAGTTACTTGAACTTCCACTCGATGTGCCCACTTCGATGGAGATATTCGAGTTGGTAGGTGCCCAGAAGGGCTATTGGCATTCTTTTGATGTGTACTATGTCTTAATTGATAAGCTTGGGGCGGCCGGGGAGTTTAAGGTTATAGATAGGTTGTTGATGCAGATTATGGAGGAAGGGATTGTGTTTAGGGAGTCCCTTTTCATTATGATTATGAAGTATTATGGGAGAGCAGGTCTGCCCGGACAAGCAACTAGGCTGCTTTTGGATATGAGAGGTGTTTATTCTTGTGAACCAACTTTCCGATCTTATAATGTTGTATTGGATATACTCGTGGCTGGGAATTGCCCAAAGGTTGCTCCCAATGTCTTCTATGACATGTTGAGTAGGGGTATCTCTCCCAATGTCTACACATTTGGGGTGGTTCTTAAAGCACTTTGTATGGTTAATGAGGTGGATACTGCTTGCTCGCTTCTGAGAGACATGACAAAGCATGGATGTGTGCCAAATTCAGTGGTTTACCAGACTCTTATACATGCACTCTCCAAGAATAATCAAGTGAATGAAGCACTGAGACTTTTGGAGGAAATGTTTTTGATGGGTTGCACACCTGATGTTCAGACTTTCAATGATATTATCCATGCTTTCTGCAAGGTCAATCGGACTCATGAGGCAGCAAGGTTAGTTGATCGGATGCTTCTTCGGGGGTTTACTCCTGATGATGTAACTTATGGTGTTTTAATGCATGGATTATGCAGAACAGGGCAAGTTGAGGAAGCAAGGGCATTGTTGAACAAAGTGCCTAGCCCAAATATTGTGCTTTTTAATACCTTGATAAATGGGTATGTTATGAGTGGACGGTTTGATGAAGCCAAAGTTGTTCTATATGATGGTATGCTAGGTAATGGCTGTGAACCTGATGTATATACATTTAACATACTGATTCATGGACTCTGCAAGAAGGGCCGTTTGGGTTCTGCTCGTGAATTGGTCAATGAGATGGAAATTAAGGGTTGCATGCCCAATGTGACAACTTACACCATATTGATTGATGGGTTCTGCAAGGAGGGCCAACTGGAGGAAGCTGGTGGTGTTTTAAATGAGATGTCATACAAGGGATTAAGTCTGAATATTGTGGGATACAATCGTTTAATATCTGCTCTATGCAAGGATGGGAAAGTTCATGAAGCTTTAAAACTGTTTAGTGAAATCTCAAGCGATGAATGTAAGCCAGACATATTTACATTTAATTCTCTAATATTTGGACTGTGCAAGGTTGATAAGATGGAAGAGGCCTTAGGGTTGTACCGTGATATGGTACTGGAGGGTGTTATTGCCAACACTGTTACTTACAATACATTAATTAATGCTTTCTTGACTAGAGGTGCGATCCAAGAAGCACTTAAGCTTGTAAATGAAATGTTATTTAGAGGATGCCCTCTTGACAAAATAACCTATAATGGGCTAATAAAGGCACTCTGCAAAGCTGGAGCTGTTGAAAAAGCAAGGGGATTGTTTGAAGAAATGATAATGAAGGGACTTCATCCCAATAGTATCTCATGCAATATTTTGATTAATGGTCTGTGTAGAAGTGGCAAAGTATATGATGCATTTGAGTTTTTAAGGGATATGATTCATCGGGGTTTGATGCCAGACATAGTCACTTATAATAGCCTGATAAATGGTCTGTGCAAGTTGGGACGCATTTCGGAAGCTTTGAATCTCTTTGACAGGTTACAAGTTGAAGGGATGTGTCCTGATGTTATTACTTATAACACTTTGATCAGTTGGCATTGCAAAGAGGGCATGATTTATGATGCTTGTTTACTTTTAAATAGAGGTGTGAATAACGGGCTTGTTCCAAATCATTTGACTTGGTATATACTGGTCAGCAACTTATCTAAAGAAAGAGATGAGGAGAATCAGAGCTTTATTGTTTAGGGATTGGGAGGAAGCTTGATTTTAGTTTCCTCTAGTGCAAATCATTGCAAATACTAGAATCCTGTGGTATTGTTTGAATGTCTGGCCTCTGAGCATTTATGCTTATGGTAATTGGAGGTGGATATGGAAGTACTTTATTATGATTTTCTGCCCGGAAATGATACTCCAAATTTTGATTTGAGCTCTTTTGAGTCATGTTTGGTTTGGCGCTTAGGGAACGAGTTGGCTGGCTGTCTCATCTCGTCAGAGTTTTTTGCTGGTTGAAGCAGAACAAATTCACATTATAATGTGAGAGGTAAATGTAATCCTGGCCGACCTAATATGATATACAATATACCTGCATTAACTATTTACTTAGTTTACTTTTGTGTTCACTTAGCTTAAGGTTCATTCTTCATGTAGAAATTTTTTAGTAGCTATTGCAAATTCGTATTTCATCCATACTCTGACATAGTGAATCTGTATCATTCGGAAGTATTAGCTTGCATCCGTATTGTTAGGCAGTTTCTAGAGTTACATTGTAAAGAGGACTTGTGGTGATTTTGGTGAAAGAGATCATATGCATACTTCTATATTTATATTCTGCTAGGCTGTACTCTCACACACACACGTATATAGACATCCATTTTTATAAAATGTCTGAAAATAATTAGCGTTTTCCTTCCAAGTTCTGAATGCAAATGTTGTAGGAACTTTTAGTAATAAATAGTATAATAATGTTTGTTGGGACCCCTCAATTCACAAATCTACAATCGTTGCTGTACAGTTTCTGTATAATCCCATGATAGTTGGTACGTACTAATTATTTATTTCTTCAATGATTGATCACATGGTATGTGTTTTTCCACGAGGCTTTGAGTTTTATCATGTTACATTATCAGCTTAAGGAGCTCATTATAATCCCAGGTTTATGCTTACAAGCACTCGGCAGGCAAAATTGAGTGGAGGAGGTGGAAAATAGTAATTCGTCAAATTATCAACTTGTCTAAAGGACGAACAGTATTCGTAATTCTTAAGGTTGTTCTCCATACTCCCTAGACGTTTTTGGCTTTCAGTCCACATGATCACTATTATGCTACATCTTTCATGGGGAATCCTCATTTGTAATCGATACAAGTACAATATACAGCTTGTTGTTTGGTACAGGAGGGTTGCAGATCCTGATTTGTTTCTTTTACATATTTATGTTCTCTGCTGGCAAGTGCTGGTTCCTGAAACTTTTATTTGTATTTGTATTTTTTTTTGTTACAGGGAGCTTTTAAAGTGTCAAAAAGAAGAGGGTATGGCCATGATCTGATGAACCCAATACAGCGCGTTTTGGATAATCATTTTATCTTGGTGGCACTTGGGATTGTGCAAATTGAAATTCTAGCCAGAGCTGATCCATGACAATAAGTGATCTTCATTCTAAAATCACGATGCTGTTCTTTTCCCTTGTAACCCCCTTTAAAGTACGTTGATTGTGATCGTTATCACTGGGCTGATACAAACTTCGGTTATTATAAATGTGAGTCAAAGCAACATTTTTGTACCTTGTTTCTGCCCGCCCAAACGCCAAACGCTGCTTAAGGTGCAACGGAGGGATGTAAATGTCTAGAACAAATTTGACAACATATGTATGTTATCAACATCGCTGCCGTGATTTTTCATGTCCATAATTATGTTCTGTTCAAGTTGGCTCATCACTCAGGTAATTTTAAGATAACATCCGTCCAACATGTCTAAAGATCTGTAAGGTGATTGTTGTTACAACTCAATAGTTGTTTTGCTCACGGTATTGACGTCTAGCTAATCACTAACAATTAGCACCAAAATCTTTTTACGATCAGATTGCACACTTCGATTTCATATAAGATTTTCCGACCAAAATGAATTCAGGAATCAAACAGCTTTGCAAGTAATCAAACTTTTGGGATATAATCGGATGATAACTGCTAAGTTAATTAAAAAGTTTATATTTGAAAAACGCAAATTTCAAAGCAGAAGATAAAAAGTAAGAAAAAACGAAATATGACAATGCCTCAGAATTGCAGAAAGTCAGCACGGCTTATAAATAAGCCAATCAGTCCCGAAAGATGGTGTGTTTTATAACTGATTTCATCACCGGCAAAGACAAAAAAACTATTCCAACAAAACAATATCATAAAATTATGAAGAGAAAAAATGTCGGTCTCATGGCCAATCCCAAATGGTAAAGGCAGTAAACACCGCTCCACAAGGCGATAGGATATGACACCACTCATCGACGGAGGAGCTCCATCCCAAGAGGGAGGGAGGACCATCAACGTCGACGAGAATTTGTATGCGACGTTTACTTTGGAATGTACAGACACCAATTGCCTGCTCCTTCAAGTTGGAGACTGATCAATGTCCCCCGTCACAAATTTCACAATTTTATCAAACAAAACAAATAGAAAAGCTTTTTGCAAAAACTTGACGACCCAATGGTCCCCATATTTGGAAAAACAATGAATCTTATAGCTAAACTCGATGAACAATCAACCTGACTACAAAGGATGAAGCTTTGATGATTGATCAAACAATCTCTGAGATGAAACTAAAAACCCTAAAGAGACTGACTAAATGAAACCGATACCAATTTTGCTGCTGAACCCTAAATCCAGAAGAAGACAGAGGCGCAAACTAAAACCCTAGCACCGAGATGGTGCAAGTCTGATTTTGGGTACAACGGGGAGGAGGGTATTTATAATGTGAGTGCTTTAGGTCATGACCGTCCGATGCGTATCGTGTGACTGGGAATGAGTCATAGTTAAACTCTGTCGCCGACAATGAAATTAGGGTTTTACTTTCCTTTTTGCCTTTTGGGCCGTACGGTTTGGTTTTGGCACTCAGGCCCAGAAAATAAACAGCATTGAGATTGGCCCAGATGAATATACGAAGCCTGCATATGTTTAAGGAACTCCGTATAAATCCAAATGGTAATTTTTTTGACACGAGCTATATTTGGACTGGGGGATTCAAGAACATAATTTTTTTTTTTTGGATAACTACTGATAACCACTTGAGCTACGAACTTTGCATCGGAATGGTATTTTTCATTATTACAATTTGGTCTTGTAGTTGATCCGCACATCCATCCACATTTCCAACAGAATTCAGATATGCTATAATTTATGTTTCTTGTATTGATTTTCAACAGGTATGAAATAATTTACTGTGATTACAGAAACAGTCATAGCGCATTTGAATCACACCAGACGTATACATTACAATACCAGAAGAAACAAACTTACATTTTTCCTACAAATTATACTAAAGCACTCATCAACTACTCTTCTAGTTGGATGAGTTGAAACAACAAGGGTGGGCGGCTCTAACCTTTGACTCCCGAGGCTTTTAAAAGACAACAAACAAAATTGCACAACATCAACAACAACAACATAACACTAACACTAACAGTTTCTTTGAAATTGAGCTCCTTCTGATAAGATCAATCAATCAATCATAGTTAGTCTAGGGGGACGCCTCTGTCAATCAAACTCAGCACTTTACTTCCAAATCCACTCATGAGTTCATTCCGATTTTGTTCGAGCTTTGATAAAAGCATTTGATAAAGGGGACTATTTGCACGCTTCGTGGCCTTCAATGCTGTTTGGATCACGTAGTTGCCGAATTGATCCCGCGCTATTTGCCACAGTTTTTCATACTTGAGAAAAGCATTTACTACATAATCCGTCTCAGAAGAGTTCAAGCATTTCTCTACAACATGACTCCCACCTCTTTGTGAAGAGAGCTTTATGTACAGATCTCTCAGCTCAAAGCATATCTTTGCAGAGAAGACAGGGTTATGGAGTCCCAGGACGTGCTGGACAACAAAGTTCCTGAATCACAAAGATATAATGTATTAACTAAAACAAATCAATACGATGCAAAAACCACAATTGAAACGAGAAAAGACCAAGATGGGAAAGGGATTTGTACCCTGAAGGATCCTGAGAAAGGAGTTTTGATTTGCTTGAGATTTCATCCATGAGTCTTTCTCTGTATGGAGTTTTACTGTAGGTGATGAACTCATTCAAGTATATGCATCCCTTTTCATTCTGGGCCAGAGTGATGCAAAGCCTTTCAGCAGTTTCGTATATTTTCTGCAATCAAATCACACAACCAACCTTGTCAGAAAAGCAGGCTTTAAAAAGAACAATGTCAAAGGCAATGATATGTATCAACAGCAGAAACATAAAAAGTACCTCATTTTTCTGTGTGTCAAGGAGGTTTAAGCACTTCAATATAACAAACGACCCTGTTCGGTTGGTCATCAGTTGCTCCAATACACTGGATAGAGCTAATGTCAAGGTGTAAATCAAGGGTGATTTCTCAAGCACCTTGACAAGCCTCTGAATTGATTTTGAGCTGCACAAACAAGTTAGAGACACGAGTCCATCACAACTATAAGCATAAAACACAGACATATATACATATATTTCTTGAGTATTGACTGATGAAGAAACAATGATGGGGTGGGGTTAAGGATTAGAAAGATACCCAAATTTGCTGGTTGATATGCTGACAAGTGATTCAGTATTCAAAGTCATCTGTGCTACCATGTGTCTTAACTGACCGTAATTGCATGATTCAATAAGCTTCCCAAAAACATAGTATCCATGTGAGTCATTCATCACCTCGAATATGGAACCGAAAACCCCAGTAAAAATCATATCCTTAGCGAATGGGTCCTTAGAAGCCACCATGATATTTATTAAGCTCTGTGATCCGGGTTGCGTCATAGCGAGTCGAGCTATATCGGCATAAGACCGCAGCTTAAATATCTGATCACCATGGCATCCATCATTGTTAAAGCTTGACTGAGTCCCCATATAACTAGATATTCCAGAACTTGGGTACCGATCACCATTTGAATACATTCCAATCCTTTCATTGCTTCTGTAATATTGTTCTCCTGAACTTTGGTACCAATTATTAACACAAGGGTTGAGCTGGTTTGCCCAGTTGCAGAAAGATGGAGATGTTGCGCCACGACTTAATCTTGATTTTGTAGTTTCTTCTGTCAGGTTACCAAGAGGGTTCTTTGGTTGATACGCATTGGCATGCCCATTCAGGTTGTTTGAACCCAGAAAGTGTCCTACAAAATCAAGAATTTAAATTACAAGAAACTCAAAACATATACGAAATTATACAAGAATTTGCAGAGTGAATTTGAGGGTTTACCTCCACCGTTCAAAATATGATCTCTCCAGATACTTTGTGGATACAATGGCACTGGAACTCTAGGCGAATTTTCAAATCCGCTTTCGTATTTTGGATAAACATCAGGCTGTGCTTGTTGGGTTATGCTTGGAGAGGCATTAGAAGACGAACCCAAACAAGTATTGTTACTATTATGCACGGAGAAACCAGGTTTCTCATTCTCAAACGTGTCCGTCTTTACCCGAACCTTACCCAAAGAAAGGCAAAGGCTTTTTTCTACTTCTTCTTCAATAGAAGAACCGGCGTAACATGAAGCCTCCATTACAGAGCAAGAAACACGAATTACAGTGAAGACACAGAGAGCTCCTATTAATATAATGAATGCTCGAAAGGTTCTCTGTTTGTATAGGATTGGAGTCCTTGTACGATTAGGATTCTGTTTGTTTTTTTCTTTTGCTTTTTTTTTTGGGGTTGGTCACAGTGTGATTAGGAGTTTTAACTTAACTAGGAGTTCTTATGTGTATTAAAGATGGAGAACGTTTGTGGAAACAAAATAAAGTCGGTGACTTCCTTGGAAACAGATGTTCAAAACTTTTCCCACTCTTTCTTGCCCCAAAAGAAGACCCGACCCGACCCGGCCCAGATACATGTGAGTTGATTTGAAAATTGGGCGTAAGTAGATTAATTCCAGCTGAACATTTAAGAAGAATGAGAAAATGTAATGACAAAGGAAGCAGAAAACAATACGTGGTAAAGTAAATACTTTGAACAGAACAGGCCAGAATAAAACCCCCCACAAAGTAAATCTGTATAATTAATTCATCCACAATTTAATCTACATGTATAATCCTATTCATTCAAGGCCCTTAATGAATATTTTCTCTTTCTCCTAATCCAAATCTGCCAGCAGCAGAGCAGTAAACCGTAGTTCCAGTTCTTTGCTCTTCCCGTTACTTGTAATTCTTCAAAGAAATCAGAGAGCTTTGCCAGCAAATTTTATGAATCCAAGAAGCTTTCTCATCCCGTTAGCTTTCCTCTGTCATGCAGTCTAGAAATATAATAGAAAAGTTAAATAAACAATCAGTCCTGCATAAGACATGCTTAATATTTTTACATCTTCCACCATGAAAGTGGTAAGCAGTCTTAATGAATCTTAGGGATAATAACGACAAGTTGGTGATGAAGTAACAAATCCTTTATAGTGGATCATCAACAGACATGAATGCAAGCAAAAATTGATGAATAGTTTCCAACTTACTAGTCTTCAGTCAAAAACCTGTAGAGAAGAGCTACATAAAGTCCATTGCTTTGTGTGTGGTTAAAGTTCACCTCTTGACATTAGTACATGAGGGGTTGTTTATCCTGAAATGGGATACCAAAATCTAATTAATTAGCACATCCATGCAGATTTCTCTAGTACAAAATCAACAAAAAAAGAATGCATATGAAAACACCAACCATTGCTTTAAGTACATGGGAATTGCAGCTGATTATTACCATCCATGTTGGGTCCTTCAACATCTCCTCCGACGCTGATAGTTTGTCCAAATTTAGGCTTACAATCACGGGTCACTGGAACCTCTTCCGCAGACACATTCTGGTCCACTGGATCACAGATGAGTAACAAATACATGGACAAAAGTAAGGTTTAGTATTCCTAACATGAGCTAGGCTACTGAAAGTGAATGAGCATGTAATATAGTTTCAGGCAAAAACAAATAGCAAACTTACATGCACTTTTTTCTCTAGTACCTTTCTGGCAGTTCACAGAAGTCTCATGAGCAGCAGAATTTAATGTCCGTGCAAGACGTTTAACACGATTCAATCGTAGTCCATTTGGCAGCCTACCAGAATCAAAATCTCCAATTCGGAAACCTATTTAATAAGAAAAGAAGAAAGAAAGATGATATACAAACAAGTTCCTGCTTAACTAGAATCATCATATTAGCAGTGACATTGTAGAACTTACAACAAGTATTATTAGCATCACCCTTTGTAATCACGTCTGCTACAACTTGGTGGTTACCAATTGCTTCACCCCCTAAATGATTCAAGGATCGTGCAAGCCGCCTTATATGACTCAAACGCAACCGTTTGGTGAAATTAGCCGATTTACAAGCTGCAGCTTCCAAGCCTGTAACAAAATTTCATGTAAAAAAGAAATCATTTTGAATTTTGAACAAGTGAACAATTATAGAACACTTACACTCAGAGTAATGCAGACGTTCGGCGGATAGCTTTTCAGTCTGAGTAACTTCTTGGGCATCATTCCTGAGCACTTCATTCCCTCCTGCTGCTTCATGTTCATTGCTTATTTGCTGAGATTGGCAATCAACTTTAGCATTCTCAGCTCTCAGTCGTCTAAGTTGATAGTTCCTACGACGCCGAGCCAGATGTCGTTCTCTCTGTTCAACGGTCATAGACTGCCTTCTTTGCCTGTCCCTTATACGGCGTCGTTCCCGCTCTTGCTCCCTTTGCATTCTGCGCAACTCTGATCTATCTAACGACTCCTTCATTGTTGTTCAAATCCGTTGGTCAACATCCAACGGACTCCCAATTCTTCCACCAAAGTTTGCTACTTGTTCTGAATCAATACGACAAGTACTTCTCAGATTGAATTTTCCCCTTCAAATTTGATGATCTTTTTCTCTTAGATTAATCATTTTAAAAAAATATAATACTGAAAAACGAAAAGAAACACGTCAAATCAAACACAACTTAACAAATTATATCATTGAAAAATATATTATAAACCTAAAATTTACAAGAAATCAGAAGTTTACCTCTAGTGAAATTGATATCTGTAGGTCTTACCCCAAAAAAAAAAAAATTGAAAATTGATATCTGTAGGAGAAAAGCATTGAGATTGAATGAATACACATACCTCGACTTTCCTGATCAGAATTCAGAAAGCAGCAATTCATGCATTTGATCATGGAATTTCGAATCACAGCGGCGTGTAACTTTTTTTATTTTCTTTTCGTTTTTCACGGGGTTAATAACCGTATTTTCCGGAGAGTTACCAAGTAAGTGGTCGCTTTTACCGTGTAATATTCTGTATCCAAAAGAACCAATTGTGATCCCACCCGTTTCATTTCAAATAGAAACGTGCCAAAACGGTTCGTTTGGTTGAATCGATGCCAAGACGGCTCCGGTTTTTCGGACACCTTTGGGGTTTTTCGGACACCTTTGGGGCTACCCGTCCAAGGACACCAGCTCCTCCAGTTAAATTGTGTGTGTTTGGTTGGAGAACTGGTTGCTTGACTATGAAATTAGAATACGAGGGGTGTTTGTTTTCAGATACTCCTCAAAGCTGCTGCCGTTCTTCAAATAGAAATTAGATAAATGCACTTTTAGTTTGCTAAAAGCCAAGATAATGCAGCAATGCAACACGCAGAATAAAGTAAATTTGCAGTAAAACTGAACTGAGAGCTATACTCTTTCTTTGCAAGGCAAACATTTACACCAAATTTCAAGATTCAGGTTTGTGCCTATAACTAGGAACTCTTGCAAGAAAGCTAAAAAGTCTGGATCCTACAGAAACTACACAAATCAGTCTCTCAAACTAAAACAAGACGAAAACACAAATTTTACAGTTTTGCAGTTTTGCGGCCACCAACATCCGCTTCACCTCCATGCAGAAGACGTTACCAAAGCTCTTTGCTTCCAACAAAGGTAGAGAGCCCCATTTGCCTCTTGAAGTCCATAATTCCCATTAAATTCCTTCAACAGACTCCTGATAGCCTCCGTCACTTTAGGACTCAATGGGTATGGAGTAAACCCATCCATCGTTAGCCTTGACTTCCACTTCCCCAGAAGTTCATGTCGTTCCACCCTCTCAGCCCCCTCACAAGCAATCATGTTCACTATGTCTCTAGCCACACAGTGCATCTCTGCACTAATCCGCTGTTTGTCGTCTCTTGGGCGAGCCACATCAATCGATTCAAACATGGCTGTATAATACTCTACCATCTCAACAAACCTTGAGAAGAATGGGGAAGTATTCGTGTTTGATTCTTGCTCCACCAGTGTCATAACTTTGGGTGATAAACTCTTAACCAGCCTTAGCAATCGATCTCTGTGATTCTGAGTGCTTACACTCTCATCTGGCATGTGGTGCAGCACGTATGGAAAATTAACAGCTATGGCTTCACCTGGTTGAATCCTAAGATTTTCTAATTCAACCTCACAACCAGACATGGCAGCATTATTAAACTCAAATGGCACATTCCATGACTTAGCAAGCTGTGAAAGCTTCTGCCCTACGATATGAAGTCCCCCGCCACGAGCATGAGCTGATTGGGAATCATCAACACCGGTGATTCGGATACGTGGGGGCCCACCAGGCTGACGTGCTAGATCTTGGATGAGGGGCACCCACTGACTGCCCTGTGCAATTTGAAAATCAATGATGTGGATTCTTGGCTCATTTTCCAAGGCTTCCCGAATGACGACATTTGCAGACATGTAAGCAAACCTCCAATATGGGCATATCTGAAAGAGCACAGACATGTATGACATAAGTTCTGCGCCTGTTGGAACTTCACATTTTAAGGTTTTGTAGATTGCACTCCCTGATCTTTCCAACCTTGCTCTAAGACCTTCCAACATGTAAGCACCCAATCTTTGAATTGGCTCCCCAGAGACTGACACCATTTGCCCCAAAACTTCCATTAAGCTATTTGCTGTGGGTAGATCATCTTCAGCTATTGCATGTGCACAACGAATAAGAACATCCTTTAGGTTTAAGTTGGTCATTTCAGCTATTTGATTCCTATTCCACCTCAGCATATCACTCTTGTAACAACAATAGTGGCTGTCAACAATAATATCTGATTCGGGCCCTAGCAGTGAAATTTCCAGTTCCCTGAGCTTGTACCTCAATCCATTACCATCATCAGTTACGGAGCACCCACTTATTGGTGATCCAGAAGTGTTGTCAGGGGAATGATGCTGATCAGACAAGCATGATTGAGAACCTTGTGATGAAAATGGACTCCTGTTAGACAAGCCACTAACAACCGAAGGGGAATCACAGGCTACAAAACCAGTAGTGGCAGGGGATGATTCCAGGGTGAAGTACTCTTCCTTGTAGGTTTGAAAGGAAACATTGTTTCCTTGGCTTCCAGTATCTGAACATACACTGTTTTCCAAAATTTGGAAAATGGAGGGATCAATGTCCTGCATAGGCTGGTGGTGGTACAACCTGTGGATACCGGCTGTACTTCGGTGTTTCTGAGATGTTTGCATCTGAAAATATGAAATGATTGACCTGATCCAGAGAGTGATTCTCACCAGCTCTTTCTAATATATGTTCCTAAATTTGACTCAATTGCTGGTCTGTCAGAACTTGAATTGATTTGAATCTCAATAAGCAGTCCAGTATCAGCCACGTCTCAACAAGCAGCTATATGGTATGACTTTCACAAAATTGTTGGTCACCATCTGCTTGTGATATCCCGAAAAAACTTTACAGAACCACCACAATCTGCACAGAGGAGAAAAGATTATGTTAATGAAACAAATAATAAAAGTCAAATGGATAAACCAAGTTTGAACAAGCAAGGATCACAAAAACTCTTATGAAGAGTAAATCTAAATATGAAACAGATAGCAGCTTGATCCTGCCATTGTAGTTTTAACATAACACAGATGATAAATGCTAACTTGTCAACTTCTACAGCCATCCATGATTCGGGAAACAATGTCCAGGCACAGGGTCTAAAAGTAAGAAGGGTTTAGTTTATGTTTCTGTTTAATAATTGTAGGTCAGTTAGTACTTCCATTCCAAACTGCAACTCAACTGAGACTCTGGGCTCAGGTTGAATGCATAACAAAGAACCATTAACGGGCCACAATTTATGCCTCTGAGCTTCCATGAGCACTCTACTCCTATCTGCTGCTTAGACAGTTCTCCGTAAATTTTTGACCCGTTGTCTTGCTATGCCTTGCAGTGATCTCAGTCCTCAGATAGACATGATAGCAGTAGTTGAAATTATTGGCCAACCCTCACTAAAAAATAGCAGCACTTCCCCTTTTTTCTGCTTTTTCACTTCTTGGCTGATTAGCCATACATTCCTTAAGGAAATACTGAAAACAATCAAAATATGTGACCCACTAGCTAGTAAATAACATAAGCAAATTAGATAGCCTCTAATACAATCTGACTCAGATGGAGTAGGTCATGACTCTGACCTATATTGGGTGCAAATGACAAACTTACAAGTTTTAGTATTTTAGAAGCATCTGTTGAGGAACTTAAAATCTGATGGAACCGGCCCGTATTTCATAATCTAGAAACAGATTCAAGAGAGGGATCCATATTGGGAATTAGGGAATTCAGATCTATAGTCCAGATCAATCACCAGTCAGCACCTCACAACGACAAAGTTGAAGACTATACAAACAAGCATACGTAAATTTGATGCTTGATCACAAGCCAAACATGATCTTAAAACCAACATCTTTGACCCCTGACTTAGAAAATCAAAAGTAGAAACCCAAAAATGCACGAACCAGAAGCGTTTACTATACTAACTCAGCCATACTGTACATAACTTTGGATTCTAATTTTTACCCAAAGAAACTCTTTTTAAGAAAAATATTCAGAAGTTAAAACCAAACAGCTCAGGTCAATACTCTAGTTATGCCTACTCATTTCTCCTACAGCAGCATCCCCAGAGCTATAAACAAAAAAACGTGAAATTTCTGAGCACACGGTTGTAGAGACGCGTTTTTGTGTCTATTTAAAATTCCCTATTGCAACTTCTCCATCTTACGAAAAGAAATAAAATAACAAATTACAGAGAAAAAGGCACTTTAACAGCACAAAGGTTAGTGGGTGGGAAGAGGAAACTACAGCTGCAAGCGAAATGAAAAAGAGGAGAATAAACTCAGATGCAAAATGAAACCAAGAGAAGTAAATCTATTTTGCTTGTGAAACAAAAGGAAATTCATCCTAAATCTTTTGATTTCTTAAGATGGGAAAATTTCAGCATAATAAAATAATGAATTTGTCCTTAGATCAACAAAAATGGCACTCAAAGATAATAATTTCACCTAATAACGACAAGAGATGGCCAAAAATTTTAATTCCCATTTTCAGACGCCAAATTTGAATGCAAATCGGCGAAAAAAAACCCCACTTTTTAAAATATTCTAACAGAAACCCATGTTCCCAGATCATGAAATCATCCAATAGAAGTTGAAAGTTGAATCTACACCTTAAAACCAGTAAACCAAACATACAACCCAAGCAACACAGAAAATCTCATCCAAAACGATACTTCAAAAACAACAAATTTGTCGAAATTAATGAAAGCTTAGCTCCGACATACCTGAAACATAGGCAAGTATCGTCTCGGCTCAGCTCAGCTCAGATTCTGGCGCAATAAACCTTAATGAAGCTTTAGATTCGTCCTCAGAAGCCAGGTAGTAACCGCTCTGTCACCTCCTAGAAGTATGCGTTTGTGGGCTTTGTAAGACTTTTATAGTTGTACGCTTGTAGCTGAAAACAAAAAACCATCGTGGTTCAGCTTTAATTACACGAGTTACCCCTTTTGAATGGAATTTTTGGGTGACCGTACACTTACCTAGAAACTTGGTGCCAAATTACGATATTAACCTTTTCCTCCACACAACGTCACACCGTGTGTGGTCAGGAAGTGAAGAGTGGAATATTGGCTTGATGTGCCCCTCCTGTACTTTGTAGACTTTGTAGGAGTCAAAGCGACGTTTGAACAAATTACGAACTCTCTGACTTCAATTACTCCTCCGCGATTCATTTACTCGATCTAAATCTTATTTCTTCTTTCTTTTTTCTTCTTTGGTTGCCGTGACGAACATGCAAACGCGGTTCAATTTCGAGCATCTTCAAGGAACATGTCAAATATCAAACATTAAAATTGAATTTGATCGTTTATATGGCAATTTAATACATATTATTTATTGGTTTACTACAATCTAGGCACATTAATTAAAAATAATAATAATAATAATAGCATCACAAGTTCAAACATCCAAATATAACATCAAGAAATAGAAATGTTATTCCATGTAGGATTTACGAATTTTAGTTTGGAATGAGTAGTCTCATCTATTTTTTCTATCTACTAAAAGTATCATGTTGAATTTAACATCTCAGCTTGGAATGCTCCATTTAATGTCACTAATAATATAGTTAATATGAAATCATGTAAGAAGGTTGTTAAACTAAAATATACTATATAATATCATGAGATCCTCATACCTATAAATACTTCATAGACATTAAAGCAAAACTAGCTAATCTAAGAGCTACAACACATCAAAAA